TAGAGGTTTATCGGCTTAGGGTTTAGGGTTTTGGGTTTTGGGTTTAGGGTTTAGGGTTTAGGGTTTAGGGTTTAGGGTTCAGGGTTTAGGGCTTAGGGTTAAACCCTCCAACACTCAGGCGCCCCGGCATGGTTTGCCCGGACCGTAGGTGTGCCGCCATCCCTGCAGCAGAGGTCTTTCAGGGTTTAGGGCTTACGCCGTTTACGCCGTACGTTACGGTCCTGGGGTTTTTGGTTTCGCGACTAATCCGGGCATTCAGGACCATTTACGGGTTTAGGACCAGCTGGCTAAACCCTAAAACCCTAAAAACCCTAAAAACCCTAAAAACCCTAAAAACCCTAAAAACCCTAAAAACCCAAAAACCCCTAAAAACCCTAAAAACACTAAAAACCCTAAAAACCCTAAAAACCCTAAAAACCCTAGGGTTTAGGCTCTCCGTCGGGGCCAGAGTTGACGGCCACGGGTTGACGCGGGGCCCTCGTGACGCGGAGGATGGTCATCGCTTGGGGTTCGGGGTTCTAGAGTTTAAGGTTTAGGATTCAGGGTTTAGGGTTTAGGGTTTAGGGTTTAGGATTCAGGGTTTAGGGTTTAGGGTTTAGGGTTTAGCATTCAGGGTTTAGGGGGTTCTGGGGATGAATACAGAGGCCTTAAATGATTAGAATGGAGTGTTGGGGTATGTTTTGTCGTTTTCAGAAGGAGCTCGGCAAGTACTCAGACCCCTGTATTACTTCTTGAGCCTTTTCCTGGCAGGGCAGGGCAGGGCAGGGCAGGGCAGGGCAGGGCAGCAGGCTTTTCACTCAGGTGAGCCCCGAAATTTGGAGGCTCCTCTGACTGGGTCTCTTTTCTGGGAAACCAGTTTCCGAAGAGGGCGGGGTTTTCTGGGGTGCTACCGTCGGCATGGTGTCATGGGGCGGGCAAGCGTTTTGGGTCGCTCTGCACCATCGAAGGTCGAAGGTGTTTTTTAGGGTTTAAGGGTTTAGGGCTTTAGGGTTTTAGGGTTTAGGGTTTAGGGTTTAGGGGAGGTGGGCGGCCCAAGGGCAAAGCAAACACAGCGGCAAGGAGCTGAAAGTGAAAGCATTGAACCAAAGGAGCATAAACGCTGAAACCGAAGCCTAAGACCCTAAACCCTGACCCTAAACCCGAAACCCAAAGCCAAATCCCGAACCCCAACGCCTCAAGCAAACCGCAAAAGCCTTGCCTTAGAGGGGCCTAAGCCCTAAACCCCTAAACCCCTAAACCCTACACCCTAAACACTAAACCCCTAAACCCGAAACCCTAAGCCCTAAACCCCTAAACCCCTAAACCCACAAACCCTAAACCGTCTCAGGGGCTGTCTGAGTTCTGGTACCTCACTGCACGGTCACGGGGTCGAGGTGGCTCACATCGTCCCCATGGCGGGTGTTGTTTCTTTTCCTAAACCTAAGGTAGGGGCCTTCAGAACTAGAATAGGGTTTGGGGGTATATTCTACTATATTGATAATAAGGAACCCCGCAAGATAGTATTGGTAATTATTTTAGGCCCCTCTATTACTGCGGTTGTTGGGATGAGGGCTTGGGGTGAACAAGTACGACGGTCGGAAGCTAAGGGTGGGTGGTCGATGCCCTTGAGGGTTCTCGGGTGCTGGGCCGTCCGGGAGGTGGGGCTTAGGTTAGGAGTTGTAGGCTCGAGTTGGGGGGGCTGTCTGGTGTGAGCTGTGCATTAATATAGGGGCCTTTATGATTCGAATAGGGTTTTGGAGTATTATTATACTGTAATGATAATAAGGAGCCCCATCGGACTCGAAACCCTTGCCACTACACTCGCTTGTGGAGTCGCCAATCGAGCCGCTTCCGGCCGGCCCCGTCCTTGGTGACGCGGAGGGTGTCCGAAAGAGGAGGAGTGCCCTAAAGCCCTAAACCCTGCCTGTAACCGAAAAAAACCTGCCTCTTTAGGCTTTCTTAATACGGTTTCTATATATATATATATATATATGTATATGTATATATATATAGTTCGGATACAGGTAAACCCCTAAACCCTGGGCACTTTTGCAAAGTCCATTTGCTTCAGTTGAACTCAGGAGTCGGCGCGGCCGCGGTGCCCCACGGCCCCCAAAGCCCAAGCACACGAGTCTTGGGCCAAGCTGCAGGGCATTCGCGAAACCCCTTGGAGCGTCTTCTAAATTAGGGTCCCTTTTGGTGTCCTTTTCATAAGGGTGCCGAACTATATTGGGGACCTAAAAAGGGACCCTAATTTAGAGAACTACCCATATGTCAAAGAAGCACCAGACTTGAGTTTATTGGATTAGGGCTTAGGGTTTAGAGTTTGGGGTTTAGGGTTTAGGGTTTAGAGTTTAGGGTTTAGGGCTTGGGGGTTTAGCGACCCTAGACGCTGTGAAGCCATGACACCACACCAGTAGCATGGAGAGTAGCTGGGGACTTTGAGTTTGAGGTTTCGAGCCATGACAACAAGACAACTGGCTTCAATGGAAACAATGGCAACAACGATAACAATGGTAACAACATGCCACCGAATGCCATAAAGATGACGGTGGTAACTTGTGTAGAAAGCCAATCGAAGCAGGAATACGGTTAGGAACAGTAAGAACAATATCGACAAGAGACAGCACCGTCGTCCGTAAAAAATGTGACAATAGCCATAACGGCAGTAGTACTGGCTGTAATGACAGGGAGAATGCCCCATTGTAACAATGACAACAAGAACAGCAACCGTTTTGCAAGAAAACTACAAGAACAGTAAGACGAGTAGCATGCAGTACCTGACATAAACCATGCCATAACGGGCTTAGGACTTTCTGGGTTTCAGAGTTCAGGGTTTTAGGTTTGAGGGTTTAGGGTTTAGGGTTTAGGTTTTCGGTTTGAGGGTTTACAGCTTCGGAATTCGGTGTCAGCAGGCTGGGGAACGCCCTCGACTCTCGACCCAAAACCCCAACGACCTTAGCACCATTCCGGAAAACCCAACCGCTGAACCCCCGAAACAAAATAAACCAGCCCAAACCCAGCCGATAACCCCCAACTCCAAACAGAAACCACTAAAACCCTCTTGAAGCCTACGAAACCTGACTCCAAACAAAACAGAAACCACTAAATTCCTCTTGAAGCCTACACAACCTAGCGAGAGCCCGGATGAAACCCAAGAAGCCGCTCCTCCTTTCCTCGCACGCTCGCGCTGTACGAAGCCAGGAGTCGCTCAACGGCTACTATAGGGGCCCGAATAATTAGAATAGGGTTCCTTTAAAGGGTTCCTCGACAAGGATACTATAAGGGTTGCTATAAGGGTTTAGGGTTTAGGGGCCCTAATAATTAGAATAGGGTTTGGGGTCCATTAAATTTACTCTAATTCATAATAAGGAACCACCGAACTAGTATTAGTAACTAGGGAGGCCCCCATAGAACTCCCAGAGTCGATGGCCTGCTGGGCGTGATCGGGTTTTACAAACTAGGGGTTCCACGGTTTAAGGTTTAGGGTTTAGGGTTTAGGGTTTAGGGTTTAGGGTTTAGGGTTTAGGGTTAGGGGTTCTCAGCGCTTGGGGTGATATAGGGGCCTTAGTAGTTTGAATAGGGCTCCCCTTAAAGAAGGGATCCTAAAAGGGGTTCCTTCTAGAGGGTTCTAAACGGGATCTATAATATAGGGTTCTATGTTAGGGGCCTTGATACTTAGAATAGGGTTTTGGGGTATATTATACTGTAATTATATTGAGGATTATTCAGGCTCCCATATTGCCTTAGTTCGGAATTCTTGCAATAGGATCGCACTCCTTACCACCTATGTTCCCTGAACGCCAAACGCTACACCCCAAAACCGAACCCCCCCGTCTTTCTGAAGCTCCAAGCAACTCTTCAGAAACCCATAACATACTATAATATACCATAAATGTGCTGCAATGTACTACAAGGTGCTCCATGCAAGAGAGCACCCTAAACCCTAAACCCTAAACCCTAAAACCCTAAACCCTAAAGCCTAAAGCCTAAACCCCAAACCCTAAATCGTAGCCCAAGTTCACTGTTGCAGGGTTCGGAGTCTCGGGGCTTGAAGCTTGGTCTTTTTGTTTGGGGGTTGAGGATATGAGGCTTCGAGTTTAGGGTTTAGGGTTTAGGGTGTAGGGTTTCAAGCTTTACGGCTTCGAGGCCCCGAGATTCCTAAGCTCCAGGCCCCAAACCCCCCAAAACCGAAGGCTTAGGGTTTAGGGGTTTTAGGCTTGGGATTCTTAAACCGAAAACCCTAGCGGGTGGCCCAAACCCTCAAAGGAGCGAATGTAGGGGCCGGGATAATTAGAATAGGGCTTTGGGGCCTGCGGGCTCCTTACTATAGTTATTCTATATAAAAAAGCCCAAAACCCTATTCTATGTATTAAGGGTTCCTTACTATAACTATTCTATATGAAAGAGCCCCAAAACCCTATTCTAATTATTAAGGGTTCCTTACTATAACTATTCTATATGAAAGAGCCCCAAAACCCTATTCTAATTATTAAGGGTTCCTTGCTATAACTATTCTATAAAAGAGCCCAAACCCTGTTCTATAAAAGAGCCCAAAACCCTATTCTAATCATCAAGGCCCCTAGAAAACTCACTTTCACTTCGCGAGGCAGCACAGGGCACAGGCACTGAGGCAGGCTCCCAACGTCTGCTCATCGGGCTCCAGGGACGTGGCTTGCCTTTAAGCTGCGACATGAAGATGATGACTACTTGGAGGTTTAGGGTTTAGGGCTTAGGGTTTACTTGGAGGTTCATGGGTAGTTATAAGCGGGGTTATAAGTAGGGTAAGTGTAATTTTAACCCATGTTAGGGGGCTTATAACTCCACTTATAACTACCCATGAACCTCCAAGTATGTATCCACCTATCTAAGTCTATCTGTCTGTCTATCTCTCTATCTGTCTATCTATCGATCTATCTGTCAATCTGTCTATCTAACTGTCTAGGCACTCAACTAGGGTTTAGGGTTTAGGGTTTGGAAGGGCTCAGTTGCCTTGAAACCCTAAACCCTAAACCCTAAACCCTAAACCCTTAACCCCTAAACCCCTCAACCCCTACACCCCTAAACCCTCAAC